CTATTGTTCATAGAGGGTCATGTGCCCCATCACCTGACTCATTGGTTTGGATGCTGTGGTTCCTAGGTTTTGTGTTATCTGTATGTAGTGAGTGCGAGCAGGGTTCAATGTCCCCTTGTTTTTGTCCCTCTTTCCCTCTTTGTGTTGGGTATCATGGGACCCTGATTCACACCTTTTGCTCACAGGGGGCTGAGTCATACTTGCAATAGCAGCATTGTAGGAGGAGGACAACTGGATACGAAGGCCTCCACCTCTGTTTAATGATGGATGGTTTTTCTTCACAAAGATGGCTTCCTTTACTCCTCTCTCAAACCAAYGTTCCTCTCYATCAAGGATGAGAACATCTTCATCCGTGAAAGAGTGACCGCTGGCCTGTAGATGAGTGTAAACTGCAGAGTCCTGGCCTGACGATGTAGCTCGTTTGTGCTGGTTCATTCTTTTGAACAGTGGCTGCTTTGTTTCTCCAATGTAATAACTGATCACAGTCCTCCTGACACTTAACAGCATATACTATATTACTCTGTTTTTGCCAGGGAGCTGGATCTTTGAGGTGAACTAATCTTTGTCATAATGTGTTTTGGGGGTTGAAAGCCACTGGGACGTCATGTTTAGAGAATAAATGTCTCAGTTTCTCTGAAACTCCCACCACATATGGAATGACGACTGGTTTGGGTCTGGGTTTAGGGTCTTCATTTTCAGCTGGTTGTTGGCTGGAATCCTGTTTGGGTTTCTTGTCTGCKTTCAGAAAAGCCCAGTCAGGATAACCGCACTGCTCCAGAGCCTGTCTTGTGTGTGACTACTCTTTCTCTCTGGCTCCTGTGTTTGTGGGGACACTGTCTGCTCTGTGGTACAGAGTTCTGATGACTCCTAATCCTAACTTGTGTTCCAGTGGGTGATGGGAATCAAAACGCAAATACTGGTCTGTATGGGTGGGTTTGTGATACACGTCAGTTTCCAACCAATAAGTCAGGTGATGGGGCACATGACCCTCTAACAATAGAGCTAATCAAGCCTATTGTTAGGCAATGGCCCTATTTTGCATTTGATTAACCTGTTTGTCCATGTGGAGGCAGTGCTTATAAGGCTGAGTTCATCTGAAACTCATCAGACTGAAGAAGTCTCTTTGACGAGAGACGAAGCGTTTCACTAAAGAAGAACCCACCCAGAGGACCTACTTATTTTTACTTTTTGACATATATAAGAGCTAACTTTATCATCATGTTTATGCTAGTATTAATTGCTTATACTGTAAATACTAAAATTAAAGATGATTTAGGATGAGAACAGAACCAGAAATACAGTGTGATTATTGAAACTATAATTGTTCTAAGTTACTTTGATTCCTGTTGCAAATCTTTTATAAAATGCTTTGTTTTCCTACAGAGTGATCCATCTTCAGTGAGAATCTTGAAGCCCAGCGCTAAGGTCAGCCCAGAGCTCATTGTTCCTGCTCAGGTTTCAGAGTCTGGAGCGTTGCCTAGACGTGTATTTGGTGTTTCCCTGGAAACTCTTAAAGAGGATGGGCAGATGGCCTGTGGAATACCTCATGTGTTAAGAGAAATGGTGGAGTTTCTGGGAAAGAATGGTAAGTAAAACACACATTACTTAGACTTTACTAGTCTTTGTTTACGGAGCTAACCGTTCAAGCACCTCCTGCATGAGTTGTGTCTGAATCTATTTCTTTTAGGACTGCATCACAGGGGTCTGTTTCGCTTGTGTGGTTCTGTGGTGCGAATCCGGCAGCTGAGGCAGCAGTGGGATTGTGGAGAAAAGGTGGACCTGGAGCAACAGGGGGAAGTCTCCACTGTGGCTTCACTACTCAAACTCTTCCTAAGAGAATTGCCCGTTCCTGTAGTCCCTGAGCCTCAGCGTAAACAACTGGTCCGGTGCCTAACAGGTACCTTAACAAAACATTTGCATTGATTGTTTTKTCTTTTTAAGGTAAGCATGTTTATTATGTTAATGGCTCAAGTGTGCTTTAACTTAATAATTAATACATCATGCTTTAGTTAACCAATCCATTATTTCCTGCCACTGCTYATCTCAGTTTCAGTTTAAAWGCATGTTTTAYTATGWTTTATTTATGTGCAGCCTACATGTGTATAATGTTTGTTTTTTTATTGTGGAATGAAATACAAAGAATATTAAAGTGCCTGTGACATCAAGTTTTTGTAATAAACATGAATGCATTTTTGGAAAGATAACTTTGATAACATATTGCAAAAGAAATTTCACGTCGCTGAGATGAACGGTTGTTGAGATATCGGCACATAAAGAAACAGGAAGTGATGTCAAAGGGGAATGTCTGCATGTAAACAGAGCGTTGTTACAAAAGCTAACAACACAGACTGTATAGAAGAATCTGATGTTTCTTTAGATTAATTTTAGTCGCTATCAAAGACGGACAAAGAAGAGTTAAAGTTTAAATAATTTTGTTTTAATAAACAGAGACCAGCGAGTTTATTTTATTAATGAGTTCCCCTTTGATGTCACTTCCTGTTTCACTTTGGCTGCATCAAATTCAAAGGGAAATAGGCCAGTTATGTGACAAAATGTGTAAAATCATGTGTGCTATGCCAATTTTCTTAAGTATAAAGATGCATTCTTTGACTTTTTCTATTTGAAGGATAGGCTTGTCAAAGGCACTTTGACTAGWGATTGAGATCTAGTTTTGACAATGCTTTTGTGTTTTTTTAGGCTGTGCAGACAAACCAGAACTGAACCAGAGACTGAGAGAAAACCTCAACCACCTCCCCTGCTCCAACCTCCATATTTTGTCTTACCTCATCCACTTTCTGTGCAGAGTGGCTGCTCACAGCCAGTCAAATCACATGCCTGTGGAAAATCTAGCCACCATATTTGGGCCTTGCATATTTCAGTAAGTTGCTTTTGCCAATGCCAGGTTTTGCTTGTTTACATGATAGAAACCTAGCATGTGTCTGGCATAGTTCAAAAGCCGCAATGGCTGAGTGTACTCGAGCCCACCGCTTGGAGGAAGTGGGTGTGGGTTGTGGCTTATTATATACAGCATGACATAGAATGACAGAAGTCATCAAGACTTTGCTTGTTGCTTCTCCCTTCCTGTTTACAGAAGCAGATGGTTCCTATAAACACACACAGTCTCTCCAGAGGCTCGCACACAGTTTCACTGTTTTTTAATTTTTTTGACTCCAAAAAGGAGTTGCAGTACTCAGTCAGTTAATCATCTATTTTATTTGTTTGTTTACTTTTTTATTTTGTCACATGAGCCACAAGATGAAGTGTAACTTAAAAAAAATCTGGAGAAAATGAGTTTGGTCGCAAAATTTGGAAAATTTCCTGCTTATGTTTCTGCATAATTTAAAACATCCACAGTAATATGTATGAAAATATGAATAACATAAGCCAATAAAAAAGTCCTAACTAGTCCACGGGTCTGCAACCTTTACAATCAAAGGAGCCATTTGTGCTACTTGTCTCACTAAAAAAATGTGTCCAGAGCTGCAAAACAAGCTACAACTGTGATTATCAACTGGTGGTCTGTGGGCCTTTTTGAGGCCTTTTTCGGAACCTTTACGGTCAGTAGAGGTGACATTATAAAACTAAAAGATTATTGTTATTGTTATTATGTTATTTGTTATTATACACATCAGGACTAATAAAATGACCATATGCATGTAAACAAGAAAAATAMTGTATATAGTTTATACCGAATTTCATAAAAAACTAGTACAACTGAATTATTCAGGCATCTTTATTTTTCTTCTAATTCTCATCATTATGTATTCTTCAAATAATTTAAAGTTGATTCKGATGGATTTGAGAGAGAGAGAGCATAGAAAGAAATTGGAATCTTTAAGTAAACAACAGGCTAGCATGAGCTAACATGTTTTACTTTTTGTATTAGTAGTATTGATCACATATTTGTATACAAATTGATTTCTGTTGTGGGTATCAAAACAAACAAAAAAAATTCTTTTATGTTTGGTCACATTTTCAAAGAGCCACTGCAGAGGGACCAAAGAGCCACATGTGACCCCAGAGCCACAGGTTGCAGACCCCTGGTCTAGTCAAACAAAAGCTTTTGTTTTGCTAAAAAAAATCTAGTTTTGGTTCTACATTTAGGAGCACATTAACTAAAATAAAAATTGAAAGTTTGTGACATGATAGGAAAAACTAGTTCTGCCAGTTTTAAACTCAGTAACCTTATACGATTGTGTTGGATCACATGTTGTTGCCATGTACGGCATGTCTACCCTTATAACACCTGCATATCTGTCACCACACCTCAATAAACAACCACTCCCCCCGGATAWACAGTATCTGTTACGAAACACATGCAATAAACTGTTCTTGCCCTGTTACATCAAATGACCTGTCTGACACAGACAGAAATCTGTTTACCCTTTGCTTACTGTGTACAGATGATGATAGATCTGTGGTAAATTAAAAAAAGAACATGTGAACAATAGTACAACCTGCTGAAAACARAAGGAAGCTTTCATATCACAAGTGAAATGATGTCATGTATTAAGAGTCRTGGTTGCCAAGGTGAAATGAGAGTTTTGCAGGTGGTTTTTCCTGTAAAAGGGAAACTTAAGTTTTATGTTAACATGACTCAGTGTGGTGATGTTTATGCCTTCGTCCACTAGATGGAAACCTTTGCCACTGTTATAAAACTCTGAGGCTCACGTTATGTTGTTATTGCCTCTTCATGCAGCGTTCCAGCAGGGCCCAGGATGCTGGARGAGCAGAGTGTGTCCAACGCCCTCTTGCTCCACCTTCTCCGGCATCAGGCAGTCCTCCTTCCAGGCCCAGCTGAGGTCTCAGCAGCTTCATCTGCTGCCTCTTCACCTCCCCCTCTTCCTGCGCTGTCTGCTCTGTCTCACTTTGAGGTGAGTTTAATTCTTCCTCGTTTTATTTCAGGGTAAAAGGCCTTCTCAAAACACATTGTTGATYTGAGTGTTTTGCACTTTTAAAACTAAATGGCTCGGTAATCACTCAGGCTGCAACGGAATCATAGGCTGCAATCACTCAGCATCCAATGTGTACACATACAGTTGGGTGTGAAAGTTTGGGCAGCCTTGTTCATTTTCCTGATTTACCTTTATAAATTGTTGATTGTTTGGATGAAACAATCAGTTAAATATATCATATAGGGGACAAACAGTGATATTTAAGAAGTGAAATGAAGTTTATATGATTTACAGAAAGTGTGCAATAATTGGTTAAACAAAATTAGGCAGGTGCATAAATTTGGGCAACAAAAAAAAGAAGAAAAACCTGAACTCAATATTTAATAGATCCTCCT